TCACTAAGTTGCTTAGGGTTTTGCTAAATTGCTGAGACTGGCCTCAAACTTGCAATCCTCCTGCATCAGCCTCCTGAGTGTCTGTGGTTACAGGTATGCACATAGTACTTGGCTAAGCACTTAAATTTTTATCTGGATTATTTCAGTAGACTTGAAACTATCTTTCCCCTAATCTCTTCTTTTTACCATCTCTTTCACACACTGAAACTAGATTATCTTTTTAGAATCCAAACCATTCTCTTTTGGGGGGATGGGTACTGCAGATTGAACCCAATGGTGCTTCACCACTTGAGCCACATCCCTAGCCACTTTTATTTTTTATTTTGAGACAGAGTCTAAGTTTGCTAAGGACCTCGCTAAATTGCTGAGACTCGTCTCAAACTTGCAACCCTCCTGTCTCAGCCTCCTGAGTCACAGAGATTACAGACGTACACCACTGCACCCAGAAAATCATTCTTTTTTTTTTCATCCCTACTAAAACACCTTCAGTGTCTCCCTATTACTGAGAGGATAAACACATACTTCAGGAAGGTGTATAAAGAAGGCTTTGACTTCAATTTACCTTTTCAGCCTCATCTCCTGCACTTCCCTGGCTATGGTGGATAATACCTCTTTGTTTTCCCTTGCACTTTAATTTCTGTCTGCAATATTGCCTCATTATATCCTCAGATGTATTCATCTGAAAAATTCAAGACTGACATTTCAAGACAATTTGATTAAACTTTCCTTTAATAAAGCCTTTTTAGACCTCTTTAGGCAGGATCACTCTCTAAAGTGTTCCCAGAGTATTTTGTACAAAACTTTCCTCTCATTTATTACAAGATCTTTTATTTATGACTTATTCTTAGGTGGTGACTATGTCCTTTCCATTTTTGTATGGTATGTCACTCACATTTTCCCTTTTCTTTCAAGCTTAGCATGGGACCTTGCCCACAGTAGGTTCTCAATAAATGTTAGCTGTCATCATTTTCATCATTATCATCTTAATCATCAAGTGTTTAAGTTCATTTCTTCTAAACTTTCATGGTTCACATAGCGTGAAACTAACTCAGCACCTTTGCCAGGAAGAGGTTTAAGATTCCATGATCTTGAAATCAGAAAGTACCAAGCCAGGGGCTATTCATCAAAATAAAAATTAATGACAAATACTGATGATCAATATAAAACATATGAATCATATAACTTTTCACCTTTTTTTCTGTTGTGTTATTCTGTACATCCTTCTCAGGATAAAATGAAGTTGCTGATTTTTTAACAGAAATCTTGTTATTGATTGGAAAATGGTGAACTGATTCTAAAAGTAAATGAAAGGGAAAATACAAAATTTGTAAATGACTTTATTGAATATGATCACTTACACATATTTAAAATGTTAAATTTGTTTAGTTTTAATATATGTATAAGCCCATGAAATCATTACCACAGTCAAGGTAACAAGCATTTCCATTGTACCCCAAATTTTAAAATGCTCCTTTATAATTAATAGTTTTCTCTACCTCTGTACCCCAGGTAACCACTAATCTTTTTGTTGTTATATATTGATTTCCATTGCAGAGTATTTTACATAAATGGAATAAAATAGGATCTATTTTTTTCCTGACTTCTTTAATTCAGCATATTTTTTGAGATTCATCAACATTGATGCCTATATTAGTAGTTTATTCCTATTTATTATTATTATTTTTATTGAATAGTAGTCTACATTATGTATGTACAGAGTTTATCCATTTACCTATTAAAGAGAATTTAGGTTGTTTCCAGTTTGGGGCTATTATAAGAAATGCTGTTGTGAACATTGGCATACAAGTCTGTGTGCACACATATTTTTGCTTCTTTGGGTACACACCTTTTGAAATGGCTGAATCACAGGGTAGATATAAGATTAAGTTAAGTTGCCAAGCTGTTTTCCACAGTGATTGTACCATTTTATATTCCCACCAACAACGTAAGACAGTTCTAGTTTTTCTAGGTCTTGAAAATACTTGGTATGATCAGTTATTTAAATTCTAGTCATTTTTACTAGGTATGTGATTTGATTTACATTTCCCTAATACCTTACAATGTTGAACAGATATTCATGTGCTTATTTCCTATCTTATGTCTTCTTCAGCAAAATGTCTGTTCATGCCTTTTGTCCATTTTTGTTAGAGTTTGTATGATATATATTGTATATATTTATATTCTACATCTTTTTACAATGAACATGCCATCAACATACAGGACTGGAGACCATGTTTTTCTGTGCTTGCATTTTGGGGCTTCACAGATGTAAACATACATTATGCAACAGGACTACTGTTTCAGAAAATTTATATCATTATTTTCTCATTTTTGACTCCTTAAGTACATTTTACCCTTGTCTTCTGGGGCATCTTTCTTTGAAGTTGGAGATAGGGATGGAGTATTGAATTTGTAACATGAAAAATACCATGATAAATATCAAAGTAGCATTCATCACCTGTCATCTAAAAGTAGGGTGATATAGGGACAGTATGCCTTGGGAGCCATGTACATGTCTCTGGAATTTTCCAAAGTTTTATTTTCATTTTTTTTTGTGTAGCAATAGATTGGAAAACTTAACTCAGAAAAATTCTCCTGTAGTGTTGTGGTTTGGATCTTAAATGTTCCCCCTAAAGCTCATGTATTGAAAACTTGGTCCTCAGTTGATGGCATTATTGTGTGGTGGAAACTTGAGGAATTGAAGCCTATCTAGAGGAAGTTAGATCATTGGAGGCATGCCCATGAAGGACATATTGGGACCCTGTTGGACCATTCCTCTCTCTCTCTCTTTTTGCTTCTCAGCTGCTATGAGGTAAGTAGTTTCCTTCATCCATGATGTATTGCCCCACCAAAGTGCTGGGGCTATGTGACCATGGACTGTAACTTCAAAATATTTGGCCATAAAAAATCTTCCATCTTTTTGTTAATCTTAGGTATTTTGGTCACAGCTATGGAAAGCTGGCTAATACATGTAGTGCACTGGAAATACCCTTGCTCACAATTAAGAGTTATCTGGGGTCAGAAGGAAGGGGGATATGACTTAGGGAAAATTACCAAAGAAATATCACTTTTTTATAGTAGCACAGAGGTGGTCAGCAAATGGAGGGGTGGTTGGACAGAGAAGCTGGAGAACAAAGGAAAAAGAATAGCTTCCTACATGGCTTATGCTGGGCTTTGGTTAGCTTAGATAAGTGAAATTAACTTGGAAAGCAAACAAGAGGCACTACTGCTCCACTCTCCATTTAAGGACTCTAAAAAGAGATCTGTTAAGTTATCCCTATCCTTGTTGCCTTTTTCTCGCTTAGTTCTTTGGGGTCAGGCATAGCAAGTTTCTCTCTGAAGTGTTGCTTTCTTAAGCTATTCTTGGCTCCCATGCAGTGTGGACATGGCCCAGAAAAGGTTGAGATTCTAGCTGGGGAGCTTGTGAGCAAGGAGGCACTATGGGAGAGGTGAGAAAACTCTACCCCAATTGTTTTGGGACAGCCAGACAGGATGGGGGAGATGGAAAAGCCAGAGAACCCTCCTAAAGTCCAGAGAGACCAGAATATTAGGTCATTAGTTGGCAGCAGACTTCAACTATGAATGCCAATAGGCCAAGCACTTTCAGAGTAGAGATAGGAACATCTTTCTGAGAATCCAGGGAGGCAGAGCACATTTCATCCAAGCATCCTGACTCTGTTTGTCTTTATGAGGTCATGGAAGCCAGTGCTTCACTCAAATTCATGTGAATATGAAGCACCTAGGGATGTTTTTAAAATGCAGATCTTGACTTAGTAGGTCTAGGGTGGGGATTGGGAATCTTCATTTATAATAAGTTCTTGGTGATGCTCATGCTACTAACATTTAGAAGAGTAAAAACATAAGACTTATTTTTTGTCTCAGACATCTGGACACCACCTTTGGGAAAGAAGTAGAGAGATGGGGAGGGTCCCTGAAAGTCTGAGCAATTTGGGGGGCCCCACGATGGTAGAATCTAGAGGAATATTCTCAAGAAGTCAATCACTGAGCCAGAAAACAAAAGGAAGGAAGACGCTTAAATGAAGTAAAGAGTGCTGGTTCTCTGCATATTAAAGAAGCCTCCTTGAGAAGTAGGCTGAAATGTTAAAATGACAAAAATAGGGGGCTGGGGATGTGTCTCAAGCGGTATTGCACTCGCCTGGCATGCGTGCGGCCTGGGTTCAATCCTTAGCACCACATACAGAGATGTTGTGTCTGCTGAAAACTAAAAAATAAATATAAAAATTTCTCTCTCTCTCTTCTCTCTCTCTCTCTCTCTCTCTCTCTCTCTCATCTCTCTCTTTAAAAAAATTCTCTCTCTTTAAAAAAATAAAAATGACAAAAATAGCTGCTACTCAGTTGGACTATTATAAAATGAACAGGGGAACAAGAGTGGGCAACATGGTACTGCTGCAGAAAAACATGGGGCAGAATAAAATATTTCTGCTGCCAGTGAAGTGACATAAGTTATCACAGGTCTGAAAAGGCCAAAATCAAAGTAAGGGTAGGATTTTGAGAAAGAACATCAGCACCAGCAGAGGTCTCACCAGGACCCTAGGGCCAAAACCTTCAGAAATATCAGTAGCACCTCCATTCAGCAATGTGCAAGGATGGTTCTCCAGCTGGAACAAATGAGATATAGGTACAAATCTCCCTAGGAGGCAGTATTTCTGAGCAAGGGGTAATAACAGCAGTTGGTGTGGCACAGGTTGAAGTGCCTCAGGATCTTATTGATAATTGAAAAGTACAGAGACAAGATCAGGAGCAAGGGCTGTGGCAAAGTCAAGGTTCTGAACTGTGTTTGGAGAGTTGTCAGCTGCAAGATGTGGGCTACCTTGCTCATGGGAGTGTGGAGACAATGACACTAATTAGGAAACCCAATGCAGATGGCAATAGCACTGTTGGTAAGGATTACTCAAAGTCCATTTATGTGCATAATAAGCAGGAGAGATCATTACCAAACCCAGTATTTCCACAAATTATTAATTTCTAATAATAACATTTCAATTACGTTTTTTCTCCTGAGGTCCTTGGGATACTTTCTGGTCACTGGCAATATAATTCATCTTCTTCTTTGGAGCAGAAGCTTTTAAAAAATGAGACATTTATTTTCAATAGTGTAAATAACAAAATTACCTAAGATTGACTCTATCATTTCATGTCCAATAAGAGGATAAACATGTGCCAATCTATGTATGGGGTTGTGTTGTGGGAGGAATTGGAGAGGATAGGCAGCAGTTCTCAGTGGGAAGAAATTTTGTTCTCCAGGGGACATTGGGAAATATCTAGAGTCATTTCTGATTGTCACAAAAGAGGGCAACGTTGTTCCTGGCATGGGTAGAGGCCAGGGAGGCCATTAAACATCCTATGATGCTCAGAATGCCCCTGCACACAAACAAAGGATTACATGGCCCCAAATGTCAAAAGTTCCAAGGTTGACATCTATGCAATGGGGAGGAAGGACAATGGCATTTATAATATCGAGTGTACTTAAGGCTATACTTTAGCTCAAACTGTACATAATTGCATTCTTAGAGAAGGGGGGAAACTACATCCTACTCAATGGGAGCATTTTTTTCTCTATACAGGATGTAGACCAGCATGATGACTGTGCTAGGGACCCTCCAGGCTACAGTGGCAATTCAAAGTTGGTTGTGCCTCACACTTTTGGTAGAAGCAACCATATACAGAGACCTCACCTGGGGGAAAGGTGATTACAGCTCCTGTTTATATCCATTTAGACAGATGAAAAGAATTCCAAACTGCATGTGTGCTAACTGGGTTTTCATTACAGTTATAAGGTGGGCATCATTTGGAGTCTGCGTGATGGAAGATGGCAGCCTTATTAGAGTAGTGTGTGTCAGTTTCATATGTGAAATAGACATTTTCACCATTCTATTGCCTCTGTAATGTTGTGAACTTAAATTCTTTTATATTTTCGATTTCAAAAAGGATTTGAGGTGGCCACACTATAAGATTCCTTCCTGTAACCTTCTTTCTACTCGAGGTAGAAGTTAACAATTGTGAATAGAGGGGGCAATATCACTGTTGAAGTGAATTATCAAATAGGGGGCAGAATGCCTACCACCTCATTGTTTCACTGAATCAAATAAGGAGCTGTTATTACTGACTCCTGTTTGATAAAATTTCATTTTTTCTTCTCTTTCATATTGTCTAATCTTACTAGCTCTTTTACAAAAATTGTCCCCCAAATAAACTGTACTGTCATTCTAAAGAGATTGAATAAAAAATAAAACTTTTTGCACACATTCTCTCATTTAGAAAACCTCTTCTGTTTGCCTTATAAAATGTTTTTCTTTGTTTATCCCTTCCCCTCCCCTTTTTTCCTTCCCTTATTTCCCTTTCTCTCTTTCACTTTAATTTTATATCTTTTCTGTGCTATATATATATTTAAAAATATTTTTTTAGTTGTAGGTGGACACAATACCTTTATTTTATTTATGTAGTGCTCAGGATCAAACCCAGGGCCTCACACATGTGAGATGAGCGCTTTACCACTGAGCCACAGCCATAGCCCCTTTGTATAAATATATATATGTATATATACATTTATAAATGTATATATATACATTTATAAATATATATAAATATATATATGTATTTAGTTTTTAGTTTTTTAGGAGGACACAGTTTCTTTATTTTAAACTTATGTGGTGCTGAGGATCAAACCCAGTGCCTTGTGTATGCTAGGTATTCTACAACTGAGCCATAACCCCAGCCCCTGTGCTATATTTTTAATTGGTTCCCTTTGTTAGATCTTATTTTGTTCTCTTCCAAAATTGCAGTGGCAATTTTTGATTCTTTGTTCAATATCCTACTTCTTTTTTTCTCTTTGTCTCTAATTTATTATTAGCCCCTTTTAAACAATGTTTATTTTTTAGTTGTAGGTGAACACAATACCTTTATTTTGATTTTATGTGGTGCTGAGGATCGAACAACTCCTCACACATGCTAGGCAAGCACTCTACCACTGATCCACAACTCCAGCCTTACTAAAAATCATTATTAGCTCATTATACAAAATACATGTATAAAGATGTGAATTTTGTGTCAACATACCTTATATACAAACAGAGATATGATCAATTGTGGTATAAAGGTGTATTAAGAATTGTAATGCAAAAAAAGTCAGTAAGAGAGCTCATGTATAAGGGCAAAATTTGGCATGAACATACTTTATATAGAGAGTTATGAAAAATTATTCTGTAAATAGATAATTATGAATGTAATGCATTCCACTATTGCCATGTATGAAATAAATAAATAAAAATCATTATTAGCCCCTTTTATTTTTTTTAAAGAAAACTTTCATTTTTGTTTGTTTGTTTTAATTAGTTACACATGACAGTACAATGACCTTGACATATCATACATTTGAATCAGATGGGGTATAATTTCTCATTATTCTGAGTGTACAGGTTGCAAAATCATATTGGTCATGCAGTCACATATATACCCACAGCACTACTAGTGTCTATTTTATTCTGCTGTCCTTCCATTCCCCCCTTCCCCTCCCCTCCCCTCCCATCACTTCTCTCTACTGAATCTAATGTGACCCACTTCTTTTTTTCCCTCACATCATCATACTTGTATTCTGTATAAAGAAGGGGGTCTCCTTCCCTCTTCCATGCAATTCCCCTTTTAAAAATCATTTTTTGGGGCTGGGGTTGTGGCTCAGTGATAGAGTGCCTGCCTCGTATGTGTGAAGCACTGGGTTTGATTCTCAGCACCATATAAAAATAAATAAAATAAAGGTCCATCAACAACTAAAAAATATTTTTTAAAAATCATTTTTTTTCTTTTTTTGTGTAGTGTTCTTACAATGTTCGTCTTTTAAGCTTTTCTTTCTTATCCTTTCTTTTTTGTCCCCCTATCTTTCCTTTTCTTTCTCTCTTTATCTTCTTTTTATGCAGTATTTATTTATTTATTTGCTACTGAGGATTGAATCCATGGGAGCTTTTCCAGTCCTTTTTATTTTTTATTATGAGACAGGGTCTTCTTAAGTTGCCTCAGTCTCCTTATGCTAGGATCGCAGTCATGTGCTAGTGCCACTTTATTCTTAATGCCCCTTTCTTGCTTGTGAAACTTTTCTTTTATTCTCTTAATTTTGACATCTTTATTTTCTTGTCAATTAGACATTTTTAAAAATATCTTCCCCTTATTTTTCTTCATTTTATACTCCTTCCTACCTTCAGTCTTTTCTTCTCTTACTCCTTTATCTATGTCTTTTTCTTACTCCTTTTATTTCTGTTTGCTGCCTGTCTGCCTGCCTTCCTAATTTACTCTTTCTTTTTTTTTTTTTCTGACCTATCGTACATTTTCTCTTTCTTTTACCCTGTACTTACTGGCATATTTTAAAAGCATTTTCATTTCTTCTCTTTCTCTTCCTATTCTTTTTAAAGCAGTTCATTTATAGGCTCTCTGTCTCTCTAATAACTCCTTTCCCTTCTTTCGTCCCTTCCTCTGTGTTACTTAAGATTTTTACTGACTTCTTCCTTGTAGATCTCTCCCTATTGGCCACGACTGTACATAATTTTCAGACTAGCTTCTTCAGCTTACTCTCACGTTCTGTTCTTTATTTTTTTTCTTTTCTACAGACTCAGTACCTTAAGCTTTTCTTTCCATCTTTTCCTTCCTTTATTCCATTTTCTCTTTTCTCACTCAATTTCATTTTCTCACTATTCCTTCCCCCATTCCCTCCCCCTTTTCTTTCCAATTCTATTTTTTTTGTTTCTTTATTCAAATTCCTGCATTCTCTTCCCTCTTCCTTTATTCATTTCTTCTCCTCTTCCTCTGGTTCCATTCTTTCCTCTCATACTTCTCTCCCCAACTTTATTTTAATCTTTGTGTTGTTCTGTTTGGTTTATTTGCTCCTTGTCTTAGGGTTTATCCCACTCCTGCTTTCATAATATATTGCTGAAGCATTTATATTGATTCTTCCTTGCTAAATATCTTCCACTTTCCTTCTTTCTTTCTCTCTTACACTGTCCATTTTCTACTTATTTTATTCACTCCTTTATTTCCTGTTTTTTTCCTCTCTTCAATTTATCTCTGTATAAAACTTCTCTTTTATGTATCAATTTCTCAGTTTAAAATATTTTGCTCTTTTTACTTCTCTTTCTTCTTGTCTATATATTTTCTTCTTTTATTTTTTTTGGCACATTTTATTCTTATTGTCTCTTTTCTGCTTTTGAAACACTCTTCCTTTCTATAACTTTCTTTTCTCTTTCTCATATTTTTCCCTTTGTTTTGCTTATTGGTTCATTTAAAACATTCTCAGTATTTCTTTCTTGTTTTCTTACCTTGTCCTTCTTTTCTTCCTTCCTTTCTTGTCTTTTCTATTTTTTTCCTCTGTGTTTAATTGTATGCTTTCCTTCCTTCCTTCTACCTTTGTCCTCCTTTTCTCTCTCCTTTCTTCCTATGCTGTCCTATGTTCACCTTTTATTTCTGTTGAATAATTGAAAAAAAAAACCCTTTGTTTCTTCTCTTTTGCTTTGTACCTCTCTATCAATTATATAGTGATCTTTTCCCGAGTATTCCTTTTAAAAACTAATCTTCCAACCCTCCCTTCCTTCTTTTCAATTTATTTTACCCCGTGAACTTTCTTATCTTCTTGTCACCCATCCATCATTGTATCTCATTTTACTGTTAGACTTTAACTGACTTCTTTTTAGGTCTCTCTTCTTGCAGTTTTATTTATTTATTTATTTTTACTAGCTCCTCTCTTTAATTCCCTGCCTCTCACTCTATTTTCCCCTCTCTTACTTTTAAACTTTATTCTCTTCTACAGATTCATCATTTGTCATTTCCATCTTTTCCTTTCTTTCCTGCTCCCTTCATCCTTTTTCTTTTCCTTCATTGATTCATCTTTGTTTTTTTACTCTATCTCATTCACTATCAGTTTTTTCTCATTCTTGTTTTTTAAAAATAGTTTTATTAGTTGTTGGTGGACCTTTATTATTTATTTATTTATATGTGGTGCTGAGAATCAAACCCAATGCCTCACACATGCTAGGCAAGTGGGCTACCACTGAGCCATAACCCCAGCCCCTCATTTGTTCTTTA